CCAGCTACTCAGAAGGCTGAGACAGGAGAATCTCTTGAACTTGGAGATGGAAGTTGCAGTGAGCTGGGATCACTCTAGCCTGGGCAACAGAGCCAGACTCCATCTCAAAAAAATAAATAAATAAACATATTGTATGATTCTGCTTATATATAGGGTGAAAACAGGCAAAATAAGGTAGTATTTCATCTGTCATGAATGGCATTCTATGGCAGGTTGTATGTAAGGCCAAATACAGGTGGCCATTGTCTATGTTAGGAGCTGAATGTTTGTATCCTCCCAAAATTCATATGTTGAAATCTAATTCCCAATGTGATGGTATTTGGACAAGGTGGAGCCTTTGGAAATTGATCAGGGCATGAGGGTGGAGCCTTCATGAATGGGATTAGTGCCCCTAAAAGACATGGCCAGTGAGCTTACTTTCTTTTTTTTTGAGATGGAGTTTCACTCTTGTTACCCAGGCTGGAGTGCAATGGTGCAATCTCGGCTCACTGCAACCTTCGTGTCCTGGGTTCAGGCAATTCTCCTGCCTCAGCCTCCTGAGTAGCTGGGATTACAGGCAACACGCCACTATGCTCAGCTAATTTTTTGTATTTTTAGTAGAGACGGGTTTCACCATGTTGACCAGGATGGTCTCAATCTCTTGACCTCGTGATCCACCCACCTCAGCCTCCCAAAGTGCTGGGATTACAGGCGTGAGCCACCGTGCCCAGCCCGAGCTTACTTTCTTTCTGACAGATGACAATTCAATTGTAAGACAGCCGTCTACAACCAACCATGCTGACATCCTGGTCTAGGACTTTGAGACTCCAGAGTGTGAGAAATAAATTTCCATTGTTTATAAGACACCCAGTTTATGAACTTTGTTATAGCAGCCCCAAATGACTGAGAAAATACCGCTTCTTCTCTATATTATTACTAGTTTCTTAAAAATGGAACCTACCTTGTTACAGTGAGCCGAGATCATGCCACTGCACTGCAGCCTGGGGTACAGAACAAGACTCTGTCTCAGGGGAAAAAAAAAACCAGAATCTACCTAAATGGCTGACACTAGTATTGACACATGTAGATAAACAGAACACAGAAAATCTGGCCAAGCTCCTTATTTGATGCCATAAAAACTAAAAACCTCTCCAAAGTTATTACTTTACTTTTAAAATAAATTAAATTTAATGTTATGGTGTAGATACACATAACTCAAGTGATTCGTACTCTCAGCCTCATTCTAGAGCATGCTTTCTGCATCATCTTTCTAAGTAAGCATTTATTAACACCCCTACTGTGTGTCAGGCACTGTGCTAGCTCTAATAATACAAATACAATAGAACCCGTTCCATTTTCAGGGATTTGCTGTCTGCTGGAAAGGGGAGAAGGAAAGAACAACAAACATTTAAAAATTACAGGACCAGGAAGAAAGTGCTATAATATAAGTGTCTAATAATAAAAGTGCTATAATAGAGTTTCTGTGGGTAAACAACAAACAAGCCAAAAAAACAACAACTTCTTCCTAGAAGTAAATCTGAGAAGGCTTCACCGTGAGGATTGGTTTGGTTCTGTTTCTGTTTTGGGTTTCCTTTTGTTTTTTTTTTTGGCAGATGCGTAAGAGATCACAGGTAGGAAAAAGTGGAGGGATACTTTCTAAGAAGAGAGTGCAGAAGCGTGGAAAGGGAAACCAGTGTAACATGTTTGGAAAATGAAAACATGGGAGCATCTGGCCGGGCACAGTGGCTCACACCTGTAATCCCAGCATTTTGGGAGACTGAGGTTGGTGGACTGCTTGAGGCCAGGAGTATGAGACAAACCTGGGCAAAGTGGCAAAATCCTGTCTCTACCAAAAAAATACAAAAAATTAGCTGGGCATGGTGACACATGCCTGTAATCCCAGCTAGTTGAGAGGCTAAGTCAGGAGAATCACTTAAACCCGGGAGGCGGAGGTTGCAGTGAGCAGAGATCCCGCCACTGCACTCTAGCCTGGGTGACAGAGCAAGACACTGTGACCCAAAAAGGAAAGGAAAACATAGGAGAATGAAGCTGGTTACAGTGACTCATACCTGTAACCCCAGCACTTTGGAAGGCTGAGGCAGGCGGATCACTTGAGGCCAGGTGTTCCAGGCCAGCCTGGCCAACATGGAGAATTTCTGTCTCTACCAAAAATACAGAAATGAGCGGGGCCTGGTGGTGGGTGCCTGTAATCCCAGATACTCAGGAGGCTGAAGCACAAGAATCACTTGAACCCGGGAGGCAGAGATTGCAGTGAGCCAAGATCACACCACTGCACTCCAGCCTGGGTGACTGTCTCAAAAAAAGAAAAGAAAAGAAAGGAGAATGAAATCAGAATATGAAGGGTATAAGATGATACTTCCTTTGATATTGCAGACCATCGATCTGCTGATTACAACCAGTTTTATAAATAAAGCTTTACTAGAACACAGCCATGCCATTCATTTACATATTGCCTATAGCTACTTTCACACTGCAATGGCATAGCTGAGTAGTTACAGCAGAGGCACCTGACCACAAAGCCCAGAATATTTACCATCCCGTCCTTTACAGAAAAAGTTTGCCAACTTGAAGTAATGCAAAACAACATTATGGTTGTAAAAGAGAGCGCAAAGGCATAAATCCCTGTTCGCCCTCTGTTTTCCCTGCTAAATGCCATTCATTCATGGTTTCAGACATATCACCCATATTGGGCAACTTCTATGCATTAAAAAAAGATTACCTAATTTCTGTAGAAAAATATGGTTTCTTCACAATCTTTCCATGTAAATCCTGAATGATAAACACAAGGGTTTTTTGTTTTTCTTTTGAGACAGAGTCTCACTCTGTCACCCAGGTTAGAGTGCAGTGGCGTGATCTCGGCTCACTGCAGCCTCCCCTTCTTGGGTTGAAGCGGTTCTCCTGCCTCAAGCCTCCTGAGTAGCTGGGATTACAAGCGCGTGCTACCACACCCAGCTAATTTTTTTGTATTTTTAGTAGAGACGGGGTTTCACCCATGTTGGTCAGGCTGGTCTCGAATTCCTGACCTTGACATCCACCCGCTTCAGCCTCCCAAAGTACTGGAATTACGGGTGTGAGCCACCACATCCAGTCTGTTTTCTTAAAGTAGAGGCAGAAGCCTCCCTGTTACCCAAGCTGATAGGCATCAGCCACCACACCTTACCCACACGTTGGTCTTATTTACCTTTATTCTTGTTTTATTTTCTTTCTTTTTTGAGATGGGATCTCATTCTGTCACCAGGCTGGAACTCAGTGGCATGATTATGGCTCATTGCAGCCTCAAACTCCCAGGCTCAGGTAATCTTCCCACCTCAGCCTCCAAAGTAGCTGGGACTGTAGGCATGCACCACTAAGCACATCTAATTTTTGCAACTTCTTGTAGAGACAGGGTTTTGACCAGGCTGATCTTGAATTCCTAGATTCAAGCAATCTGCCCACCTCAGCCTCCCAAAGTGCTGGGATTACAGTAACGAGCCACGGCACCCTGCCTAATTATCTCCATTCTTAATCTGACTGTGGCCTCTGTGGATTCTAAATATTTGAAGTCTGTTTATTTCAAATCAATCCAACTTTGGTCTTTAATTCAATATCAGTTATCAGCGAATAAGAAATATTTTAAAACAGTTTTCTCTGGACATTAAAAATATAGTACTTTGCTACCCAAAATTTATTCCAAAGGTTTTATAATAATTGTTAAAAGCCAAAAGACCAGGCTAGGTGTGGTGGCTCACATCTGTACTCCCAGCACTTTGGGAGGCTGAGGCCAGAGGAACGTTTGAGCCCAGAAGTCAAAGAACAGTTTGGGCAATATAGCAGGACCCTGTCTCAACAAAAAACTTTTTAAAAATTAGCCGGGCATGGTGGTGCATGACTGTAATCCCAGCTACTCAGGAGGCTGAAGTGGAGAGGATCACTTGAGCCCAGGGGGTTGAGGCTTCAGTGAGCTGTGTTCATGACATTGTACTATAGCCTGGGTGACAGAGCAAGATCCCATGTCAAAAAAAAAAAAAAGGCTGGGTGGGGTGGCTCATGCCTGTAATCCCAGCACTTTGGGAGGCCAAGGTGGGCGGATCACGAGGTCAAGAGATCGAGACCATCCTGTCCAACATGGTGAAACCCCAACTCTACTAAAAATACAAAATTAGCTGGGCGTGGTGGCATGCGCCTGTGGTCCCAGCTACTCGGGAGGCCGAGGCGGAAGAATCGCTTGAACCCAGGAGGTGGAGGTTGCAGTGAGTCCAGATTACACCACTGCACTCCAGCCTGGCAACAGAGCAAGACTGTAACTTAAAAAAAAAAAAAAAAAAAAAAACACAAAAACTAAATGACCAATTGTCAGAAGCAAATATTTAAATTCTCATTTATAACAATCTTTTCTTTTTTCTTTTTTTTTGAGACAGAGTTTTGTTCTTGTTGCCTAGGCTGGAGTGCAGTGGTGTGATCTCAGCTCACCACAACCTCCACCTCCCAGGTTCAAGTGATTCTCCTGCCTCAGCCTCCCGAGTAGCTGGGATTACAGGTGTGCAACACCATGCCCAGCTAATTTTTTGTATTTTTAGTAGAGATGGGGTTTCTCCATGTTTATCAGGCTGGTCTTGAACTCCTGACCTCAGATAATCCATTCCCCTCTGCTTCCCACAGTGCTGAGATTAAAGGCATGAGCCACCACGCCCAGCCATTTTCTTTCTCTTTCTTTCTTTCTTTCTTTTTCTTTCTGTCTTTGTTTCTTTCTTTCTTTTTCTTTCTTCTTTCTTTCTGGCTTCTTTCTTTCTTTCTTCTTTTTCTTTCTTTCTTTCTTTCTTTCTTTTTCTTTCTTTCTTCTTTCTTTCTTTCTTTCTTTTTCTTTCTTCTTTCTTTCTGGCTTCTTTCTTTCTTTCTTCTTTTTCTTTCTTTCTTCTTTCTTTCTTTCTTTCTTTTTCTTTCTTCTTTCTTTCTGGCTTCTTTCTTTCTTCTTTTTCTTTCTTTCTTCATTTATTTCTCTTTCTTTCTTTTCTTTGTCTTCTTTCATTTTGTAGTTCATAAGTATGTTGAGTATTACAAGCATGTGTGAGCTGTGTCTCCCTCAAACCTTGTTATGATGTCGACATATTTATCACATTAGACACCTCACACTTATCTGATGTGATAAATGAAATATACATATTCTCAGCCAGGTGAGGTGGCTCACGCCTATAATCCCAGCACTTTGGGAGACCAAGGCAGGTAGATCACCTGAGGTCAGGAGTTTGAGAGCAGCCTGGCCAGCATGGCAAAACCTCATCTCTACTAAACATACAAAAAAAATCAGCTGGGCATGGCAGGCACCTGTAATCCCAGCTACTTGGTAGGCTGTGGCAGAATTGCTTGAACCCGGGGGACAGAGGTTGCAGTGAGCCAAGATCGCGCCATTACACTCCAGCCTGGGCGACAGAGTGAGACTCTGTCTCAAATAAATAAATAAATTATCATTTATTGTTTCAATTCAATAAATAATCGAATAATGATAGCTAATGTTAAGTAAGTGTCTATGTGCCAAGTTCTGCACAAAGCACTTTACATAGATCATTTCGTTATCCTCACAGTAACCCTATGTGGTAGGTTTCATTAGCATTCCCATTTTTCAGAGTCTGTCTGTATTAGGACTTATGTATTCAGATCAAGAAACACTCCTGGTGCACCTGTTATGTGCAAGGCACTGACCTAGGCATTTTGGAGGCTGTAAAGATTGCAACACAAGTGATGATATCACAATTTAATAAAGAGCTATGAGCTATCACAGGAGAAATACAATTGCTTTGGTAGCTCAAAGACAGGAGTGACCACATCTCTAAAGCAATCCAGAAAGTCTTCATTGAGCAGATGTTAACATATTAGGGCTTTAAAACCAAGGAGGCATCTCACCTTTCTTCCCTCTCCATACAAACCACAGGGGCTCTGCCACCAGCCTTTAATAGATGCACCGCTGCAATAGAATGCTGTGTACACAACTCCATTTGGATTTTGGCACGTGATTTTTGAATCTTCATTTTCCCAAGCCATCACGCTTTGTGACTCTGATTTTGTGTTTTGATTCTGCTTCTTGGTGGTGTTATATACTCATGAACTGGTTCCTGACCATGGCCCGTTCCAACCTCAACCTGTCCTACATTCCATGGAAAGAACTGACAGGACTCAACAGATCATGTCCATATAGCCCTTTAAGTTCTTCAAAGTGTCTTCCTACCTAAAGAAAGATAGGAAGATTTTAAAGTGTATCATCGTGTCACTGAAACCAATTATTAAAAAGTATACATAGCAAGAAATATTGGATTGTATTTGGCAGTGGTTATGAACATGTGAGGCATTTGGGGTAAATATCTGGTGCACATAATAACTAACACCCCTGACTCCAACCCACTCGTATATCTTCAATTCATATTTTGTAGATGATCTGTAATAACATGCCATCAAAAAAGAAACACAAAAGGCCAGGCATGGTGGCTCATGCCTGAAGTCTCAGCACTTTGGGAGGCTAAGGAGGGTGGATCATCTGAGGTCAGGAGTTCAAGACCAGCCTGGGCAACATGATGAAAACCCATCTCCCCTAAAAACACAAAAATTAGCCCAGTGGTAGGCTCACCGCCTGATTGCGGTGAGCAACCTGGTGCCTGCCACCATACCTGGCATTTTTTGTTGTTTGTTTGTTTTGTAGAAATGGGGTTTCACCATGTTGGCCAGGCTGGTCTCTCAAACTCCTGACCTCATGGGATCCACCCACTTGGGCCTCCCAAAGTGCTGGGATTATAGGAGTGAGTCACTCCTATAATCAGGTTGGCTTCCCTCTTTACAGTGGAAGAAATTCTTAGAAATGGCAGAAGTTAGATGTTGGGTCAAAATCTTTAGTAAAGATTAGATTTTTCCCTCTGTGGACTAAGAAGATAAGACAAGCACCACCTCTCAATTGACAAGGACAAATTGACTTTCTCCAAGATGACCTCAAATCAGACGCAGAATGTGCTTACCAGGTGCCAGATAAAGACACCTACTGCAAGCTGCCCACGCCTGTCCTCGATTTTTCACAGGTTACTTTCCTTAATTAGGCCTTCCCAGGCCACCCTACCTAACAATACACACCCCAGAGGCCCTAGGCTCACCTTGGCTTTATTTTTCTCTTGAATACTTGTCATTATGTAACATACGATGTATTTTACTTATTTAACTGATTGTCGTCTGCTATCTAAACAGAGTTTTGTCCATTTTATTTCCTTTTTATTTACAGCAACTAGAACAGTAGCTAGCACATAGTAGGCACTCAACAGATGTTTGTCAAATGCACAAATGAATATTATTCATAATATGACATAATCATTGCTTTTTTTTGAGACAGAGTTTTGCACTTGTCCAGGCTGAAGTGCAGTGGCGTGATCTTGGCTCACTGCAACCTCCACCTCCCAGGTTCAAGCAATTCTCCTGCCTCAGCCTCCGGAGTAACTGGATTACAGGCATGCACCACCATGCGCAACTAATTTTGTATTGTGCTACTCTTAAAAATAGCAATTATTGGCTGGGAGCGGTGGCTTATGCCTGCAATCCCAGCACTTTGGGAGGCAGAGGCGGGCAGATCACTTGATGTCAGGAGTTTGAGACTAGCCTGACCAACATGGAGAAACCCTGTCTCTGCTAAAAATACAAAATAAGCCAGATGTGGTGGCGCATGACTATAATCCCAGCTACTCAGGAGGCTGAGGCAGGAGAATGGCTTGAACCTGGGAGGCAGAGGTTGTGGTGAGCTGAGATGTGCCATTGCACTCCAGCCTGGGCAACAAGAATGAAACTCCATCTCAAAAAATACATAGTAATAGGTAAATTTTTGGCCAGGTGTAGTGGCTCACACTTGTTTGTAATCCCAGCGTTTTGGGAGGCTGAGGTGGGTGGATCATGTGATGTCATGAGTTTGAAACCAGCCTGACAGCCGGGCATGGTGGCTCATGCCTGTAATCCCAGCACTTTGGGGAGGCCGAGGCGGGTGGATCACAAGGTCAAGAGATCAAGACCATCCTGGTCAACATGGTGAAAACCCGTCTCTACTAAAAATACAAAAAAAAAATTAGCTGGGCATGGTGGCATGTGCCTGTAATCCTAGCTACTCAGGAGGCTGAGGCAGGAGAATTGCCTGAACCCAGGAGGTGGAGGTTGCGGTGAGCCGAGATAGTGCCATTGCATTCCAGCCTGGGTAACAAGAGTGAAACTCCGTCTCAAGAAAAAAAAAAGAAAAAAAACTAGCCTGACCAACACAGTGAAACCCCGTCTCTACTAAAAACACAAAAATTAGGCAGGTGTAGTGGGGCATGCCTGTAGCCCCCAGCTACTCAGAAGGCTGAGGCAGGGTAATCACTTGAACCCAAGAGTCAGAGGTTGCAGTGAGTGGAGATCACGCCATTGCACTCCAGAGTGAGCAAGAGAGCGTTCCTCCATCTCAAAAAAAAAAAAAATGAGAACACATACTGGCTAACAAAAAGGAGGAAAAAATTCCACTAGATCTAATCAGAATAAAATTCAAGCATTTTTTGTTTTTGGCATTTCATGTAAATATTCGAAGTGGTAATTTACAATGTAAAAATAAGGTTTAGCTGGGCACAGAGGCCCACACCTGCAATCCTGACACATTGGAAGGCTAAGACAGGAGAATAGCTTGAGCCCAGGAGTTCAAGGCTGCAATGAGCTAGGATTGCACCACTGCACTCCAGCCTCGGTGACAGTTCAAGACTTTCCATTTGTTTATTGTTGTCGTTGTTGTTGTTGTTTTTTTTTTAAAAAAAAAGCCAATAAAATCTAAAATAGTATTTGCTAAATTTTTAGAAACTATAGGTAATGGAAATAACCACAAATACATCAGAAAACCAATATTCTAAGTAAATTGTTTCATGTGGCCTGCATTAGAAGATTCCATTTTAGGCCAGGCGCGGTGGCTCAAGCCTGTAATCCCAGCACTTTAGGAGGCCAAGGCGGGTGGATCACAAGGTCGAGAGACTGAGACCATCTGGGTCAACATGATGAAACCCTGTCTCTACTAAAAATACAAAAAATTAGCTGGGCATGGTGGCGCGTGCCTGTAATCCCAGCTACTCGGGAGGCTGAGGCAGGAGAATTGCCTGAACTCAGGAGGCGGAGGTTGCGGTGAGCCGAGATCGCACCATTGCACTCCAGCCTGGGTAACAAGAGCAAAACTCCGTCTCAAAAAAAAAAAAAAAAAAAAGAAGAAGAAGATTCCATTTTAAACAGTTTGTATGGAAACACTATGTTCATATTGTTAGCGGTTTCACTAATCTTTAACATTTATACAGAAAATAGTTTAACTATTCCCAGAATTTTATTTCCCACATCATTAAATATTTTGCATAATTATTTAATTATCTTTGTAATTTGTTTAGTCTCTCTCTCTTTTTTTTTAATTCTTAGCTTTTTCTATACCCTGTACACATTCTCAAACCTCTTTTTCTTTTTCGTTTTTGAGACAGGGTCTCGCTCTGTCACCCAGGCTAGAGCATAGTGGCACAACCATGACTCACTTAGGGCCTCAACATCCCAGCCTCAAGCAATCCTCTCAAGTAGCTGGGACTACAGGTGCATGCCACCATGCGCAGGTAATTTTTTATATTTTTTGTAGAGATAAGATCTCACTATGTTGCCCAGGCTGGTCTCAAACTCCTGGTCTCAAGCAATCCTCCTGCTTTAACCTCCCAAAGTGTTGGGGTTACAGGTGTGAGACACTGCACCGGGTCTCAAACCTTATTTCTAAAGGAATAGATTCTACATCTTCCCTCACAAGAAAAGGGGTCTGTTGATTGTCTATATTTGTCTGTGTTGGTTTGTTTTTTGTAGAGATGGGGGTTTTACTATGTTGACCAGGCTGGTCTTGAACTCCTGAATTCAAGAGATCCTCCTGCTTTGGCCTCCCAAAGTGCTTGGATTACAGGCATGAGCACTACACCTTTAATCCATCTATATTTGGAAAACAAAAATTGTTCATGGGAATTGAGCAAAATTGATTAAACCAAACAAGCATGTGCTGCACCTGACTCTATGCAGAGCTCTGCGGCATAGAATATCAGGATGCACAGACTAGCATCTGACCTCTAGCAGCTT